ATGTACGTATGTGTTGGAGGTAAGTAGAGAGAGAGAGAGAGAGAGAGAGAGAGAGAGAGAGAGAGAGAGAGAGAGAGAGAGAGAGAGAGACCTTAATACACACGGTCTTAACAAAGCTCATCTATTCTGAGTGACGTTCTTAATGCCCTCGTTCACTCATAACCTAAAAATAAAAACTGATTCACCTCCACCCCCCCCCACCCCCACCCCACACACACACAACAACAACAATAACTTAATGAAATCAATTACATAAATGATTTAAAGTGAGTTACATTAAATAACTTTACAAAAAAACGGTACACATCACAACGGTACACATCACAGCGGTTCACATCACAACGGTGCACATCACAGCGGTACACATCACAGCGGTACACATCACAACAGCGGTACACATCACAACGGTACACATCACAACGGTACACATCACAGCGGTACACATCACAACGGTACACATCACAGCGGTACATCACAGCGCGGTACACATCACAACGGTGCACATCACAGCGGTACACATCACAACAACGGTACATATCACAACGGTGCACACCACAATGGTTACATCACAACGGTTTTATCACAACGGTACACATCACAGCGGTACATCACAGCGGTACACATCACATCTGACGCACACATCACAGCGGTACACATCACAATCAAAGCGGTACACATCACAACGATACACATCACAACGGTACACATCACAGCGGTACACATCACAACGGTACACATCACAACGGTACACATCACAGCGGTACACATCACAACGGTACACATCACAGCGGTACACATCACAACGGTACACATCACAACGGTACACATCACAGCGGTACACATCCTAACAACGGTACTACACTCCAGATAAAGTACAATTAGATTCTCGTAACTAAACTACAAAATAACCTGTAATTACACAAGAACACCCGGTACAGTAAATAAAACACATACCCCCCCCAAAAAAAAATAAAAAAAAATGGCCCCTAAAGTGAATTACAAAATACCAGGGTAAAAGACTCGCTATTATTTCACAACATTGACCAAGGCGAGTCCATCATTCAAAAATAAACTAATAAATAAAATAAATAACAATAATAATTAACAAAGTCGTAAATCATCAAAGAATAAAGAATTTTTTTTTTTTTACGGTAAAGAAAAAAATATGTATTGGATATGAAGAAAAACAATGGCGGTAAATTCGTCGATTTGTAAACACGTCTCACTTAGCAACCAGCAGCCAATCAAAAGCCTTCATGGTTGCTAAGGACGCCAGAAGGGGGTTGGGCTTAGATGACTTAACCCTTTGAGGACGATGACTTAACCCTTTGAGGACGATGACTTAACCCTTTGAGGACGATGACTTAACCCTTTGAGGACGATGACTTAACCCTTTGAGGACGATGACTTAACCCTTTGAGGATGATGACTTAACCCCTTGAGGACGATGACTTAACCGTTGAAGACGATGACTTGAGCCCTTGAGGACTATAACTTTAATCCCTTGAGGACGATGACTTAACCCATTGAGGACAATGACTTAACCCATTGAGGACGATGAATTAACCCCTTGAGGACGATGACTTAATCCCTTGAGGACGATGACTTAATCCCTTGAGGACGATGACTTAATCCCTTGAGGACGATGACTTAACCCCTTGAGGACGATGACTTAACCCCTTGAGGACGATGACTTAACCCCTTGAGGACGATGACTTAACCCCTTGAGGACGATGACTTAACCCTTGAGGACGACGACTTGAGCCCATGAGGTCTATAACTTTAACCCCTTGAGGACGATGACTTAACCCCTTGAGAACGATGACTTAACCCCTTGAGGACGACGACGACGACGACTTAACCCCATGAGAACGATGACTTAACCCCTTGAGGACGACGATTTAACCCCTTGAGAACGACGACTTGACCCCTTGGGACGATGACTTAATCCCTTGAGGACGATGACATGAGCCCTTGAGGACGATGACTTAACCCTTGAGGACGATGACTTAACCCTTGAGGACGATGACTTAACCCCTTGAGGACGATGACTTAACCCCTTGAGGACGATGACTTAACCCCTTGAGAACGTTGACTTCTTTGAGGACGATGACGGCATGATTTTTTACCCCTTGAGTACGATACTCTAACCCCTTCAGTACAATTACTTGAGTACAATAACTTAATACCTTGAGTACAACACAACATAAAAAGATATTACAACAACAACAACAACAACAACATAACAACAACAACAACAAACAAAAAACAAATAACAACATAACAACAGAACATCAAAGACTTTATCACGAATGTTACAAACACAATTATATTAAAACAATGACAACATGCAATAGTATTTCTCTCTCTCTATTCTTTCCTTTTCATTTATTTCTCTCATTAGTAACAACTTACGAATTGGAGAGAGAGAGAGAGAGAGAGAGAGAAAAAGAAGAAGAAGAGAGAGAGAGAAGAGAGGACAGAAAGACAGACAGACAAACAGAGAGACAGACAAGAGATAGTGTGTGTGTGTGTGTGTGTGTGTGTGTGTGTGTGTGTGTGTGTGTGTGTGTGTGTGTGTGTGTGTGTGACAGGTAGCTAATTGAGTTGTCCATCGGGGAATTACAAAACAAGCAAAAAAAAAACACATTAACTGTAAAATAAATAAAATAAATAAAATAAATTACACACAGTGAGCTCTGAGTTTGATCACTCTAATGCACTCGATGGTGTGTGTGGTGAGAGAGAGAGAGAGAGGAGGGGGGTCGTTCATCTCTCCCTATACACAGCAATTGTCTGGTTGCGTCACACATGATGAGTATTTACCCTCTACCCTCTACCCCTAACCCCCTACCCTACCTCCCTACCCCTACCCATCACTTCTCACACCCCAGTGTGTCCTGAAGGGTGGAAGAGAGATGGAAGATGGGAGGAGGAAGTGGAGGAGAAGGGTGATGGGAGGGTGAGAGAGGGGAGGTGGAGGAGGGTGATGGAGGGGGGTGGAGGGGTGGAGGAGGGGTGATGGAGGGGTGGAGGAGGGGTGCTGGAGGGGTGAGGAGGGGTGGATGGAGGGAGAGGAAAAAAAAAAAAAGATGAAGGAGTGCTGGAGGGTGGTGGAGAGGATGGAGGGGGGTGATGGAGGATGGAGGATGGAGGGGAGGATGGAGGGTGATGGAGGGAAAGGAGGGTGATGGAGGTGATGGAGGGGTGATGGAGGGGATGGAGGAAAAGGAGGGGGTGATGGAGGGGTGGGAGGGAGAGGGAGGTGGTGGAGGGTGGTGAGTGGAGGAGGGTGAAGAGAGTGCTGGAGGGGTGATGGAGGGTGGTGGAGGGGTGATGGAGGGTGTGATGGAGAAGGAGGACACTGATAACTCTACCTTTTGTCGTCACTCTAAGGTGTTTTGTTCCCTCCTAATGACATATTCTGCCTCCTCTTCCTCCTCTTCTCCTCCTCCTCCTTCTTCTTCTTCTCCTTTCTTCCTGTTGTTCCTCCTCCTCCTCCTCCTCCTCCCCCTCTTATTCTTCTTCCGACTTTCATTCTTCTTCAACTTCGTTTGCCGATACAAAAAAAAATGGAAAGAGTATAAACGCCGAGAAAGAGAGTAATCCAATGACCGTCAGACAAATTTTTCCACGTGTGAAAGTGTTTTATCATGTAGTGGAAAGGAAGGGAAAGAGGCGGGTGGGGGGGGTAGAGGGAGGGGGAGAGGTAGGGGAGAAGAGGTAAGGGAGAGGGACAAAGAGGAGAGAAACACGAGAGGTGATCCGTAAGAGAGAGAGAGAGAGTAGGTAGGCGGTGATTTAAACTGCCCAAAACTCACTCTTACGGACTATGAACCCAAGGGCGTTAATCCCAATACACCTGAGGGAGTAAAGAGGGGGAGGGGTCCATTATTAATTTTGGGGAGGGAGAGAGGGTGGGGAGGGTAGGGAAGGTGGGGAGGGGTAGGGGAGGTAGGAGGGGAGGGGGTAGGGGAAGGTGGGGAGGGTAGGGAGGGCAGGGAGGAAGGGTAGGGAGGAGGGAAGGAAGGGAGGGAAGGAAGGGGTGGGAGGGGAGGGAAGGAAGGGTGGAGGGCAGGGGAGGGAAGGTGGGCACGTGTAATGTGAGTGGCGCGTTACACTGAATGGTAAAGGGACGACAGCGACATATTATACGAACAGAGGGGAAGGTGTTGCTAAGTGTTATGTGAGGTGGAGGTGTTATGTGAGGGTGGAGGTATGTGAGGGTGTAGGGTGTTACAGGGTGTTATGTTGTGTTATGTGAGGGTGGGTGTTGTCACTAAGTGTTACAGAGCATTATGTGAGTGTTACCATGTGCTATGTTGTAAGTAGTGTGTGGTTGGGTGTTACAGGTGTTATGTTATCAGACAGTGTGTTACAGGGTGTTATGTGAAGACGTGTTACTAAGTGTTATGTTGTGTTATGGGCAGAGTGTGGCACGACAGAATAACAAAGGTGAACAGATCTTTGAACATGAACTTTGACCTATAACATAAAACTCTCTCTCTCTCTCTCTCTCTCTCTATGTTTACAATCTCCAAGGCCTCCACCATCTCCTAGGGCCCACCATCTCCTAGGCCTTCACTATCTCCTAGGCCTCCACATACCCCTCGATTCCACTCGATCTCTACTCTCCTCGGTCTCTACCTCGATCTCCTACCCTCGGTCTCCCCACTCTTAGTATGGAAGCAACAGTGCATGTGTTATAAACCCTACTAACTATCAGACGTTACTGTGTTATATATTACTATTATTATTATTATTATTATTATTATTATTATTATTATTTTATTATTATTATCATTATTATCATTGTCATTATTTATCACCATTTATTAATATCCATAATTATCGTCTTATGACCATTATCATCATCATCATCATCTCTTGAAAACCAAACCGCTAATGTCAACACACACACACACACACACACACTTGCAGGGTCTCCAAAACAACAACCAACCATTGACGTGTTCCCTCTACTGGTCTCCTCGCCTCAGGTACAGGTGTGGAAGCGTCGATGTTGGGTGGTGGTGCGCAACGATCGGTCACCAGAAGATGGAGCTGGCCGAACTAACCAATTGAGTCTGAGCGTGGAAATCTACACCCGACACGAGGGTTCCAACCATCCTACCGAGGGCACACACACCTCGATCTCGTCCATAGGATACGTCGAGCCAAGTCCAAGTAAGTTCATCTAGGAGGTCGTTCCGTGTAGGAGGTCAAGTCTGTAGGAGTCAAGTCTGTGTAGGAGGTCAAGGCCATGACAGCATGTAGGAGGTCAAGTCTGTAGGAGGTCAAGTCCGTGTAGGAGGTCAAGTCCGTGTAGGAGGGGAGTCCATGTAGGAGGTCAAGTCCATGTGGAGGTCAAGGCTATAGAGGTCAAGTCCATGTAGGAGGTCAAGTCGTGTAGGAGGTCAGTTCAGGAGGTCAAGTCCGTATAGGAGGTCAGTCTGTAGGAGTCAAGTCCGTGTAGGAGGTCAAGTCGAGAGTCAAGGCCATATAGGAGGTCAAGTCCGTAGGGGCCAAGTCAAAATTAATTAGAGGGTCAAGTCTAAGTTAAGTTGAACAGGCTTAATTAAAGTCCAGGAGTCCAGATTCACAGGAGCCAAGTCCAAATGTCCACAGCCAACTCCATCTGAAGTCCATTGGGGCCAAGTCCACCCTCTCTCTCTCTCTCTCTCTCTCTCTCTCTCTCTCTCTATTAACCGACCACCAGGTGTACCAAGATCATTAGTGGTGCGTCTCTGTCTCTCTTCTCTCTCTCAACCGACCACCAGGTGTAACAAGATCATTAGTGGTCCCCCTCTCTCTCTCTCTCTCATTAACCGACCACCAGGTTACCAGATTTAGTGCCCTGTGTGTTCTCCTCACCCACCTTAAAAAGATCTTATAGTTGAATGGGTTTAATTAAAAAACTTCCTCAGATGAATCACCGGCCGTCTGGAGGAGGAATATGCAAGACAGCCCCTACCAGTGTGTGTGTGTGTGTGTGTGTGTGTCCACCCACCACACACCATGAGAGAGAGGAGAGAGAGAGAGAGAGAGAGAGAGAGAGAGAGAGAGAGAGAGAGAGAGAGAGAGAGAGAGAGTATATCTGTATTCAAAAGATCTGAACTACACCATTAACCTTTCTTCTCTTCTTCTTCTTCCTCTTCTTCTTCTTTCCTTCTTCTTCTTCTTCTTCTTCTTCTCCCCTTCCTAACTACTTACTCCTCCTCCTCCTCCTCCTCCTCCTCCTTCCCTCCCTCCCTCCCTCCTCCTCCTCCTCCTCCTCCTCACCCTTCTCCCTCACTCCTTTCTTAATCGGATTCTACTATCGAATTCCATTCCTAAAATCCTGATGGGGCCGCTGCAGGAGATTCCACTACCCCCTCCCCAAGTCCCTCCCCAGCCTCACCCCCATGGCTATTTCCCCTTTCCTGTTTCCCCCACCCTGCCCTCCCCTCTCCTCCCATGACCTTGATTCTCCTTCCATGCCCCCCCCACCATCTCTCTCCTCCCCAATAGCCACTTCCCTCCCACCCTCCCCTAACCCCTTCCATCCCCAATGTGTGGAGTAAACCTAGTGTGCAGGTAGACCTAGTGTGCGGGTCGACCTAGTGTGTGGGTAGACCTAGTGTGCGGGTAGACCTAGTGTGTGGGTAGACCTAGTGTGTGGGGTGAGCCTAGTGTGTGGGTAGACCTAGTGTGTGGGTAGACCTGGTGTGTGGGTAGACCTGGTGTGTGGGTAAACCTAGTGTGCAGGTGAACCTAGTGTGCGGGCAGACCTTGTGTGTGGGTGGAGCCTGGTGTGTGGGTAGACCTGGTGTGTGGGTAAACCTAGTGTGCGGGTAGACCTAGTGTGCGGGTAGACTGGTGTGTGGGTGGGCCAGGTGTGCAGATGAAGCCTGGTGTGCGGGTAGAACTAGTGTGCAGGTAGACCTAGTGTGTGGGTAGACCTAGTGTGTGGGTAGACCCTAGTGTGTGGGTAGACCTGGTGTGTGGGTGGACCTGGTGGGGTAGACCCTGGTGTGGACCCTGGTGTGCAGGTAGAACCCTAGTGTGCTGGAGTGGACCTAGTGTGGACCTGGTGTAGACCTAGTGTGTGGGTAGACCTAGTGTGTGGGTGGACCTAGTGTGTGGGGTAGACCCTGGTGTCGGGTGGGCCCTAGTGTGGGTAGACCTGGTGTGCAGGGAGCCTAGTGTGTGGGTAGACCTGGTGTGTGGGTAGACCTAGTGTGTGGGTGGACCAGGTGTGTGGGTAGACCTGGTGTGGGACCTGGTGTGTGGGTAGACCTGTTGGGTGCAGACCTAGTGTGGGTAGACCCAGTGTGTGGGTAGACCTAGTGTGTGGGTAGACCTAGTGTGCGGGTAGACCTAGTGTGGAGACCTAGTGTGGGTAGACCCTAGTGTGCTGGGTGGCCTGGTGGGGTGGACCTGGTGTGTGGGTGAACCCTGGTGTGTGGGTAGACCTAGTGTGTGGGTAGACCTGGTGTGGGTAGGACCTAGTGTGTGGGTAGACCTGGTGTGCCACCTAGTGTGTGGGTAGACCCGGTGTGTGGGCCTGGTGTGGGTAGACCTGGTGTGTGGGTGTAGACCTGGTGGTGGACCTAGTGTGTGGGTGGACCTGGTGTGAGCCTGGTGTGCGGGTAGACCTAGTGTGTGGGTAGACCTGTGGTGTGGGTAGACCTAGTGTGTGCAGGTAAGCCTAGTGTGTGGGTAAACCTAGTGTGTGGGTAGACCTAGTGTGTGGTAGAGCCTAGTGTGCGGGTAGACCTAGTGTGTGGGTAAACCTAGTGTGCGGAGTGGGCCTAGTGTGGGTCGACCTGTGTGGGGTCGACCTAGTGTGTGGGTAAACCCTAGTGTGGGTAAACCTAGTGTGCGGTGAGCCTAGTGTGTGGGTTGACCTGGTACATGTGGGCCTAGTGGTGTGTGGGTAGACCTGGTATGGGTGAGGCCTAGCGCTTCTAAGCCAAGACAGTGTGTGTTATTTGTCTATTTATACCTGATACCGACAGGCCTATAGAGCACTGATTCTAAGTACCATATAGAGCCTCTGACGCTAACGGGGGCTGTGTACAGCTCTGGGGACTGTATAGAGTTCTAACGCTGGGCTAGTGTAGAGCTCTGGGGCTGAGGAGGGGCTAGTGTAGAGCTGTGGGGCTGGGGGGGGCTGAGTGCAGAGGCTGTGGGGCTGGGGGGCTGGTGTGGGGCTGTGGGGCTGGGGGGGCTGGTGTGGGGCTGGCAGGGGCTGGGGGGGGGCTGAGTGTGGGGCTGTGGGGCTGGGGGGCTGGTGTGGGGCTGTGGGGCTGGGGCTGAGTATGGGGCTGTGGGGCTGGGGGGCTGGTGTAGGGCTGTGGGGCTGGGGGCTGGTGTAGAGCTGTGGGGCTGGGGGGCTGAGTGTGGAGGCTGTGGGGCTGGAGGGGCTGGTGTAGAGCTGTGGGGCTGGAGGGGGCTGGTGTAGAGCTGTGGGGCTGGGGGGGGGCGGGGGCTGTATAGAGCTGTGTCGCCGGGGGTGTATGCTTACTGAACTAAATCCTTCCATCTCGTTAAGCAAACTGGGGAGATTACAGCTGCATTGTTGGTATTGTGTGTGTGTGAGAGAGAGAGAGACAGAATATGTACTGTCAAACATCCGTCTACAATACACCCAAATACGAGGGCACACACACACACACACACACACACACACACACACACACACACACACACACACACACACACACACACACAGTACATAAAAGTTGATTACCTACATAATTATATATACGTTCACTTAAAAGGGGGTCACAATATAGCAGAGTGTGTCCCAATATGGTGTAACAGGTGTATGGCACAATATATGGTAACACAGTCATCCCAGGTGTACAGGTGTCATACAGGTGTCATACAGGTGTCATACAGGTGTCATACAGGTGTCATACAGGTAGCATACAGGTCATCATTACCTAAATATTATGCTCGCTGGTGTGACCTAAAATAACAACAATAATAACAAAAACAATAATAATAATAACAACAATAACATAACAATAACACTAAACTAAACACAACAACAACAATAACATAACAATAACACTTTCATCAGACAATTATTACAAATAATCATCAATAATAACAACAACTGCTGGTAACATTACACTCGTTAATTACATCACATAACACATTAGAGTAATTAAACTTTAATGAGATAATTTAGAACTACAAAACACTAATAACGCAATGTGGTCACGCACTCTCTGGTAACGCACCTTCTGGTAATGGTCTCTCTGGTAACGCACCTTCTGGTAATGGTCCCTGGTAACGCACTCTTGTAACACACTAGTAACGCTCTCTGGTAATGGTCTCTAGTAACGCACTCTCTGGTAACGCTACGTGGTAAGGCAAATATTTCCATCTAGAGTACGATGACTTAACCCCCAGAGTACGATGACTTAACCCCCAGAGTACGATGACTTAACCCCCAGAGTACGATGACTTAACCCCCAGAGTACGATGACTTAACCCCCAGAGTACGATGACTTAACCCCCAGAGTACGATGACTTAACCCTCAGAGTACGATGACTTAACCCTCAGAGTACGATGACTTAACCCCAGAGTACGATGACTTAACCCTCAGAGTACGATGACTTAACCCTCAGAGTACATTGAATTACCCCTTGAGTACTATGACTGATTCCATCTACTGCCCTTCTTCTCTCTTCTCCCTTTTCCACCTTTCCTGTTCCTCTTCCTCCTCCCTCTCCTCCTCCTCCTCTTCTTCCTCCTCTTTCTCTTCCTCCTCATCAACCTCATCTTCCCCCCTGAGCGTCAACTGGTCGCACAACATAAGTCAACAATTTAAACACAGATTACAAGGAGGAAATCATCTGGTCAGAATCTTGAGACCAAACAACCTATTGGACGAGACGATAAACAAACACACGTGGCGGTCAGAAGGTCAGATATATATACGACAGGATTCCTAGATCAACCTGAAGATTAAACACCCTAGATTATTTCACAAGGAGATTAAAGCACTAACCTAACCTAACACTAACCTAACCTAACCTAACCTAACCTAACCAAACCCAACCTAATCAACCAACCTAACCTAACCAAAACTAACCTAACCTAACACTAACCTAACTCAACCTAACCAACCTAACCTAACCAAACCTACCACCCCAACCTAACCCCCCCAAAAAAATAAACGTATCTCTAA